TCGACACGCATCTTAAACCTCTTCATTCCTTCTCTATGTAGCCTTTAACCATGAATTAAAAGTGACAAAGTTAGGTCCAAGAATTGTGTATTTTTTAAGCTTAGAATCATTAATAATTTATGTAGGATTCATTGTATGAAATACATAACCCAACAGTCCAGGTTGAACAATAGATGCAATAAACTGTTTTATTTTTGTATTGACATTTTACTTTCTTTTTTTTCATCAATCAATAGTTTTAAATGTATAGAATAATACTTTCACGAAATTCGAAAAATGAAGAAAATTACGTGCATTTGAAGTGCATTGCATCGCATAACCATGCCACTTTTGAAATGACCTCTAGCTACTCCTTATTCAGGTGTGAAAATCTTAAAAAACTACTAATTTAATCGGTTCAAGTATTCAGAGAATGTTAATATATAGTTTACTCACAGTATACACCATGATAACTTATTTAACAAATGGTTACTGTCAAATGGCTACTGTACCCGCAAAGACGCGGTACTACGTTAACGGTTCATTCATAAGTCAACGTAGTAGATATTCTTGACCCTTATTCATGAAAAAGCCTTGAAAAAGTTTCTCAACCACGTTAAGTTAGGAATCGTAATTCGAAAAGTGAGACAGCCTCGTGAATGTGCATGTAAGTACGCATGTATAGATTCTCTGACTGGGTGGAGAATGAAAAGCGAAATCGATCAGTGTGTAGGTGGGGGACTGTACCGTAGCATTGAGACTCTACTAAACAGGTTCAAAGTTTAATAGGCATTTCTGGCGATTACTGCTCTGCCGTAGAAGTTTTATTGATCGGTTATGGAAATTGTTCGGCTCTTGCCGCGTCTAAAAATGGTATTAAGTGATAATTGGACGGCTAGAGCCCACGTTGGTGTATCGTTTCGCTGCAGTTGACTCAACTAATTGTCGCGAACCCGTTGCCGAGTGAGGGTGGAGGCAGAAAAACGCCGCTTTGAATAATGAACACCGTAGGAATGCGATGATGTCATGTTCCTTTCAATATGCGATAGAAAGAAGAGTCATAAGGTCGCGATTTAGCCTTATCTCGCAGTCACAGATAGTTACACGAATTATTACTTCGTCGTACTTTTTCTGGTCAACAGAGTTAGAAAACGACTGATGCTAGTATAGATCATAGAGAAATTCTGAATGATGCACCTTTTGGAAAGTTGTATTCAAGTGAGAGTCAGTATTTCAGTTGCTATCCCGAGAAAGAAAGGCGACTTCTTGGTTTGATTTGAGGTTAGGCGGATAGTAATTGGAAAAACTGCATCGTATCGTTACATCGACTCCCGTATAGATCCTAACCTAGACCTTTTCGCTTTCAGACACTCCCAAAAGCGATTAGATCAATTTGCATCAGCGTAATTCATCGTTCACGTTCTACTTAGCATCTTTACTAGTATTTCCAGTTGACACGTGGTGTGTATCATGAATCGTAAGCTTTCTGCTGTAACCGAGCCCCCCCCCCACTCGCTTCATAGTACTTTTTCCTTATCCTGCAGCATGAGCTACAACTGTTCGCTCAGACTTGCCCTGGTGTCACACGGCAGACAAGGGAAGAAGTAGTCGCATCTGGAGGGATGACAATCGTGGTACATATTTACGATATTTGTGATGTGCACTGGCCTCTGATAGCAGGTTGTTCTCCGAGTGTGGCGCCATCGGCCTTCTCGGTGACCAGTGGTGGAGATTCACAACGTTCTGCAGCTCTGTCAGTGGTTCTTGAACCTCTATTGACCTTCTTGTAAAGTTTTCAACGACTTCGAAATTATTCAGAAATTAAATAATTAAAAAATATTCTGTATGTACAATTCTACAGGATTTATAACGTCTTTAATAACGCAGAGGTTAGTTAGAACTTAAAATTTGTACAGAATATTTTTCAACGCTTTCAGAAAAAATATTCCTTTATTTTGGTTAAGGGTAGTAACCTTTTATATCTTCAATAATGTATCTCTATGATTTCTATTTTCATAGAGTATAGCAATAATTCAGAGTGGAGTGATTTTCGAACACATTCGAGAAATTTAATTTCCGTTCGAGAACCGAACTCAGTTAACAGATTAGAAAACCGTATGTCACCTTTTTGTCATAAATTTAATGTTTAGTTGAATTAAACGCTGTTTTTTTAGGACGAAAAAGAGAAAACATATCTTGATTCAATAGACCTGTGGAGAGGTGAGTACTCGTGGAGGAAACATTACATCATGATTCATGTGGCGGAGCAGGTCCATTCATCGAAGCCCAGATTCCCAGCAAGAACGAGCGAGCAAATCGAATTACCGAATATATGACGACCCTCGGTGAAAGGAAGTCCGTTAGGTGTACCGAGGGATGCCTAGCTGTGCCGTCTAAGGTCTGAGCCGAGATTCCGCGAGGTTTCCTCTCTTCTGCAGGTCTTCTCGCGTTTCCATCTCTCGCTGGTAGGCTTATCGATTCAACCTCATCTTCCCTGTATGAATAGAAGCTGGCATATCATGAAAAAGGTTATCGACTTTCGCCCAGTCTTTGAGGATGATAGGGATTTTTCAGTAGATACAACCGTACAAGAAGTATTAATCGCTCGAAAGGAGCCTGTATAGTCTAAGAAATATGATGTATTAGGTTCTTGATCTTCTTCCAGGCTGTACTATTTATAGCCTCTTAATTCCTCCAGCTGCTGAAGGTTCACGATGGATTTGGTTGCTAAAACAGGAGACGTAGAATTGTCCAAGCTGAGAGAGTCGGTTAGGTTAATCCGACGTTCCTAATTGTACGGCTTCCCCCTCATGTTTCTTCAAAGTATCGTCACTTATCCCGTAAAAGTATTCAAATGGCATTTAGCAGTAAACACTTGGTCTAATCGTGTCACACTTTTTTGGCGGCAGACTTATTTGTCTATGTATAGAAATAGCTATGCCAGTGTATTGCGATAACGAAAGTGACCATCTGCAGATTTAATTTTGTACCCTTCCAACAATTAAAACCAACCAAATTCTAATTATATATTCTTGATTCTAATTAGCATAAATTTTTCCAGGCACAACGACCTGAACAGAGTGTAATGCAAGCCTTGGAGAGCCTTAACGACTCTCAGGTGAACGACTTTTTGTCTGGGAAGGCTCCTTTGAATCTCACTATGCGATTAGGAGATCACATGATGCTGATACAGCTACAACTATCCACGGTGACTGCATCCTCACTCACGGCCAATCAGAACACCAGTAACAACAGTGGGTTGACAATTGGTGGGAACAGCTCCAATGGGTCAAATTTACCCAGTAGCCACGTATCGACTTCCCTGCAGAGCAGACGGTCCACTGTTTTAGCTGCTCGCTCTACAAGCAGTACGAGCAGTAAATTACAAAATGGCACAGCAGCCGCGAGAACGTCGTCTCTAATAAGTAGCCTGGTATCAGCGCTGACCGCAGCGGCCAGTTGTAGCACCAGCCTGTCGACAGCCACTACGACAACCAGCCCAGTATGCTCCAGTCGTGCCACTACTGCCTCATCCGTCTCCTCTACGTCCTCCTACTCGCCCATTAGCCCACCACATTCGTCATTTTGCAATAGTCAGTCACAGACAGCACGTACTGGCAACAACCATGGCTCTGTGTCGCCTAACGGCACTTCCAGCACCTGTCAGTCTTGCCTTCTGTACCACCATCACCATCACCACCATCACAACCTATACCACCATCACCATCATCACCATCATCATCACCATTCAAGGAACAAGTCCAGTGGCTCCTCAAACACCACTCAGTCATCCACTTCAAACTCCAATTCTGTGGACCATCTGCAACAATCTACCTCCACCAGTCATGGATGCATAGACTCTGTGCCCTATGATATTACCCCACCCAGGAAGAAGCTGTGCACTGTTCACCACCATAGCCAGCAGTCTACGAATAGTGATACGTCTAGGAGTAACACAATTGATGGAGACTCGAGTCCCCAGAGCCCTACATCCTGGCTGGCTGAACAGAAGGCTGCAACTCTGGACACCAGGGCGCTTGCAGAGGCTTCTCGTAATTTGACGCAGAAATTGAAGCAGCTCTCCTCTGAGGTACTCACCTCGCGGGTCGACCTCGCAGAGGTATACATTATTACCGATGCCAGTTCCCCCTGTGTACCAATATTTTGTATACATAGAGCAGTCTCTGTTAAGGTCCTAAGAGACGCGTAAAGCAAAGGAACAGTGACTTTATAATTATGTCTAGTTCATTGAATTGTACAAATTTGAGTGCTCTCTTAGGTCCTTAAGCATGTATTCTTTTGTTCTTTGATTCTTGAGTTAATGATAGTTGAGTACAATTGTCCAGTGTTTACATACATGACAGTATAATCAACGTTACTTTAATATTAAAAACATTGTTCATCGAAAAGAATGACTAAGCTTCATTTTCTAAATACAGGAGAGTGCAAGACACAGGCAAGGTGCAATAATAGAGAGTATGCATCATCATGGAAAAGGTGTGTATTCTGGTACGTTCAGTGGGACCCTGAATCCAGCTCTACAAGACAAACACGGGCGTCCAAAGCGAGATATAAGCACTATTATTTACATTCTCAATGACCTGCTGTGCTCCACACCTTCCTTCACCGCACGTCGTAACATGCATCATCACAGGCATTCTAGTGGTCGCCAGCAGTCTTCAGCTTCTCCGTCCTCTACTGGAACTACAACCACAGTGAATGGTGCCTCTACGCCCATTAGTTGCCATGATTCTTCTAACCCTGGATACTCAACTAGTATTAATCTTTTTATATCTGATATTTGCACGTCTCGTCTGTTAACTGGTTTCAAATTTTAACTACGGTTAAATTGCATTAAAATTACGAACAATTGAATGAGTAATCAGTTGACAAGTTAAAAGTGAAGGATGTTATTAAATTTCAAAATAAACTTATTTCTAAGAAAATACTAATTAATCTCTATTAACAGAGGAATTGTCGAAGGAGAACGAAGCTACTAAGGGAAAAATGAGACGGCTGCGTTTGGTTATGGAGCAACGACGCGCCAAGAGAAAAGCCAGAAGACAGGCGAGGGCAGCACCGTACACCAGACAATGGGCGGCGGTCACGCCGGATCCGGATCCGAATCACGATCCAAATACACCGAGCACCGCCGCCACGAACACGACAGAGCCTCAAAACGAACCAGAACTGCAACCTTGCAGTCCTGAACCGGTCGTAGCCTGAACATCGTGTCACTCGTCGACCATTGACATGTTGTAGTAGTATATTAAAAGAAAAATGAGTTCAACTAGCGCGCACTGATTTATTCAAGATTAAGGGGAAGGAGGGGGTATTCGATCGCTTTTTACACCGCGTACGCGCTTGTTCACACCACCAGGAAGTTCCGTTAATTGTTGCTTGAAGGCACTTCGTTACGTTCGATAAAAAGAATTGAGGTTTATGTCTGGAAAGTTTATTTTGATCGGAACTATGTATGTTTGTCACGATGGAATAATATACTATAATCGGTGTACAAGCGACGATCTATACGCGTAATTTTTTTAGTATTGCCTCCGTGTACCTCCGATCCGAAATATACCGTGGTATGGTGTTTGAAAGAAGAGTGGTGGAAATTTAGCAATATCCGTAATAACGAAACGCGTGCAGAGTTTAAGGCACGATAAATAGGGAGTAATCGAATAGAAGAAGAAAAAGTTTCGCGGGAAACATGTGTACACGTCTTCACTGGAAACTTTTATGATAACGTATTTAAAAATAGAGAAAATTCTGACCATAATGAAAGAAAAAAAAATGGTTATTAAAACCGCATTAAACAAAAAAAAAAACAGTGTTTGGCTAATTACTCAGGACTCGATCGTAGCTGACAATAATTGCACTCGACGAATGAATCAGTGTGACCAGCATGTGGTAACCATCTACAAAAAATTCGAAATGAAGAGGAGGTGACACACGCTGCAAGAAAAAGAGAGAAGGGTCATCACTCCGATTGTTAAGTATCGATTCTGTCAGTGTCGACGTATACTCAAGTTTAGTAGACACGACTAGATAATTTTAAACTCACACATGCTTTGGCAAAGTGCAGGGAAGACTGTTAAAAAAAAGCAATGTTACAACTGTTTACTCACAAATGAGAAACTTTTGGGAGTTGTTGCAAGAAGAGGGAAGATTTCTTTCTTTTTCTTTTTTTTTTCCCCCCAAGTGGAAATATTTGTGCGTCTGTTGTCAACTGATTGATTGATCTGCATACAAGAAGTGCACTTTGTGATGCCACTAAGGTTCACGCAAACTTCTTGCCAACAAACATGTAATAGTTTACCATACAACAGGAAAAGGCTTCCTTATTTCAACAGTGGAATAAAAAAAAAGTGTCTTGTTACAATGACATTGTTTCTTTCTACGCATCAGTGAAGTCCGAAGTCATATGTGATATTGATCAATCAGTTGGACACCAAACAATCTCATATCAGTTCTGGTACATGTAAAAATTCTTCAAACAGACTGAATTTTTAACTTGAAAACATTGAGTCGTAATAAGCTTGGTTGCTCTAATCCAAGGATTATCATATATCTGTCTTTTGACGAGGGAAAAGAAAAAAAAAGAAGATGAACTCAAAGCACGTGGATAAATGGTCCTATAGTTAGAGTTTAGATAATCCTATCGCATGGCTCCAACGCCAAAATTCATTTAAGTTTTACTAGGTACTAAAATAATATAATATTATCTAATAATAGTATATTGCGTTTAAGTTACTTAGGAGGAAAAAAAATATTACTATTATTATTATCATTACTACTGCTACAGTTTTGCAAACTGGCTCAATGTTGTAACATATGATTATCGAATTTTATCGAGTACCAAAATAAATAAGATTGCTTGCTAAGCTAAGGAAAAAAAGGAAGTCTATCTTTAGTCTTGTTTGAATGTGACATCATCTGTTGAGTGTTTGTTATTATTGTTATTGCTGTTTATTGCCTGTGTAAAAAAAAAAGAAATTGCCGATACTGTTTCGTTCTAGATTATTATTAATCATCATCATCATCATCATCATCATCATCATCATCATCATCATCATCATCATCATCATCATCATCATCAGATATATGATTTAAGCAACCTTAAGGGAAAAAAGAATATGAAATTTGATTAAAGTTGTTCATTTTTAAATTGTTTATTTAAATTATGTCTGAACTCACATAAAATTGTATAGAAATTTATCCGACGTTTAAAAATTACGCTATCATAGATTATACGCTAACAAATTGTTCTACTTACACGCAACACCGACTTCGCGACAACAAACAACCATTATTATAAGAAAAGAAATTATCATTGTTTTTAATTAATTCAATTATCACAATGTATTATGTTTATATTAGGCGTAAAAAATTCACAATTGAATTTTTATTTAAAATGCAAGGAGATAAAGTTGGAATTGTGCAATTTCGTTTAAAAAAGTATATGTAAAATGTATAATTGGCAGAATAATGGTATATTTTGTTTGTTAAATACCTAAACTTGGACCGCTATATTTTATTTGAAAATTATTATATGTGCCAACTTTTCTAGTACTATTGCGCTTTCTTTTTTTTTTTTTGCTCTTAAATGCAAATACAGCAATACAAATCTGTACTAAAGAATAATTTGTTTCGTTTACATAGTTTTACCCTGGCACATGTTTTTTACAATGAAAAACTATTCTTAATGATCAATCGATCATTTCTTTCTTTTTATTATTTAAAACTTCGTAACTTACTTGGTGAATGTGATATTTTATATTACTTTGGCTAGAAGCGATATACTTCGATATTCTCTTACATAGATACAGGGTGTTCCACACAACTGGGCGAAGCTATATCCTTAAAACTGTTAGAGATACAAAAAAATGTCGCAGGACAAAATTAAATGGTATTGTGTTTTACATTTCTATACGATTTTTATGTATTCTTGTGTATTAATGTACTTGCAAAGTACAACTGCACCTTTTTTTTTTTTTAAATGGAACTATATAATGTTTCTTGCATAAATCGATTCTCTAGATCATTCTGCGTATAAAAGTCTAATGGTGATATGATCCTAAATTAAACAGGTTACGAGATATTTCAACTTCCTCAGTAATACGTACTTTTAAGCGTTTTCATATATCTACGACCTTGTTAACGCTCAGTATCATACCTGCGTAATGTTTGTATACAATAAGTAATTTCACAATGGCAGATATCCAGCTGAAACTTCTAAATCAGTCTTATTGAAGCATACATTCAGTACAGAATCATGTCGTTCTAAAGCTCTGAAAAAGTCGATACGATATTTATCTTTGCTAAATGCTGTCGGAATTTAAAATGTGCTACAAGTCTCTATCGGAATACATATCCCGATCGTGTTAAGTCAACTGACACGTATTTTTGAAAATTGCAACTCAATTTGCTTGAAGTTATTTTCTTGAAACGTATTACTAAGAAAATTGAAATATCTTGTAAACTGTTTAGGATCATCATATCACCATTACACTTTTATATGCAGAATAATCTAGAGAATCGATTTATGCAAGAAACATTATACAGTTCCATTAAAAAAAGAAAGGTGCAGTTGTACTTTGCAAGTGCATTAATACACAAATGTCCTGCGAC